GCGGCGTCGGAAGTTGTAGACTGGATGAGAAAGGTCCCAGGGCGATTGCTCCTCCATCCATTAGCCAGACCCCTCGCAAGGGCCTGGCATTACCGATGCGCGTCCGTGTGCCAGCTTTGAGACTGCTTGAATAAGCTCTATTAGGGGGGTCTGGTGTCGCCCCCGCAGAAGACCCTGAACTTGGGGCCCAGAAGAGGGTGGAGGAGGGAAGACTGGTTGCAGCGAAGGCCCGCCAACTTGACTGAGTGAAGCGTAAGGAGCGCCGTCGCTCCGAAAAGTGCGGAGGAAAAGTGCGATGACAGAGAGAACTCCTTAACAGAGTTCTCGCAATTCAGCGCAAGATCCGACCGGCAGGATTGACGCCCAAACTAGGTTTAACGAGATCGAGAAGAGCTGCTGGACAGCGGATAATAAGTCGGACCAATCGGGCTGCAGAAGATCGAAGACAAGTTTCGGTCTGACTTCAATGAAGTGTTGGATTGAAAAGTGCACTGAATGTGTTTCAATGTGAGTGGTGATGATCGTCGGCACACTCAAAAGGAAGAGGGTGGGAGACGACTGGTAGAAAAAAGAGTCGCAAAAGTGGAATGGGGGACCCTATTTTTTTAAGAGTATGATGTAGTACGCACCACACTCGGAAAAATAGACCCCGTGGTCAAAGACGATGCGTCAAACCACGAGGACGGCGAAAAGAGCAACGGCGAATCAAAGACAGCCGGAACACTTGAAGAAGCACGATGCAAGATTCTAAAATATGTATGAATAAATTCAAGAGCAGTGGGTTTTAAAGATATCACCAAGGAGGTGATTGTGAGGAAGATGTCTCAAGGGGACAGGAGAGGACCGAGAATCAAGGCAGGCCGAGTGGAGGAGCAATTCTAGTATTTAATAAAATACGAGGGGCGGGCAGAAATTTCCGCTTCAAGGGTGAAAAATGGACTGAGGAGTCTGAAATTTTTAGTTGAAGACGCCGCGTCGGCAAAGGCCCCGAGGCGGGTTTAGTCCGGTCGTCGTCCAATCACGCCGGTGGCTTTTAGTAGTCTGGAAATCTGGTTGCTCCCGAGTCCGTGGCCATCATCAGCTGCTCTGCAATAATAATCCAGTGAGTAGTCACTCCCACTACATGTGGGATGGTCAGATTTATGATTGTTCAAATCATTGCTTGACCTCTGTGAGGAATCAGGAATCGGGAATCTCCTGGAATGGTCTTGCGTTGTGGATGTGGACCTTATTCGAGTGGATTCTATCTAGTATCTATCCATTCATTCAAGCTGCAAACCTGAAATTAATTACAGTACTACTACTGGGCACCTGTCAAAAACTTTCCTGTGAAAGAATTATTTATATCTCTTTTGGCTGGCAAACCTGCACGTTCCAGATCCAATGGTTGCCGTGGACAAGCCAGATCCGTGTGATCTACCCACTTCGTCCAATACTATCTCTCATTTGCTAGCATCCTAACCAAAAAAAACTAACCACTCTTACTTCACTCTATCACCCAAGGTTCCCAAACGGAATTGCGCGAATAAGACCTATCTAGGCAGCAATCTCAACATCCCATCCTATCTCGTTAAGACTGCGTCCACATTAGCTGTTGTATGGCACTAAATACTTACTACTCTGTACTAAGTACTTAAGTATGTCTTGCTTCGCCCGAAGAAGTCTTCATCTCCATCTCCCAAGTGGGTGTAAATACTGGTAATATTACCTTGCCACATGGAGCCTGACTTAGGGGGGAGAAGGTCGTCTTCTGCTGCCCAATGAAGGCTAAGTTGATCATAGCTGAGTCGCACTGCAATTCCAGCCCTGCGTATCCAATTCCACACGCGAGTGGACGAAACAGGGCAGAAAGGATCAAACCAGATCTGGCTCATTCTCGAAACACATCATCCTTCCAGGACCCCCACAGGGGTATGCATGAAAACTTTTATGATATAGTATGTATGTCATTGTCACACCTTTTCCACCGAATCATTGTTAGTCTGTTCAGCTATTGTAGGACAATGAGTAGGGAGAGAAGTCTTTTTGGGCTGGTCGGAAAAGTATATTGCACTTGAAGGAGGAGGGGGGGAAGCAAGCGTTTGCGGCTGAGGTTGTGTTGTGTTTGTAATAATACGCACAATCTTCAGGTCAGATCGAGGGAAAGCGATCGCATGACTCCAAAGAAAACTTGTATTGATTAGTTACTATTTGCCAGCTTAACTATGGATGTGAACAAGGAAGTACTTTCTGTAAGAGGTAGTAGTAAGTATTAATAAACATGTCACAAACAATGATGATAGGAGAATTTGGAAAATAATCTTCGAACTTGGCTTTGTGGCACCTGGATCTAGCAAAGCCCTGTGGTCCCTCACTTGCCCGCTTTCTGCTTCCCCGACGTCGGCCTTTTTTTTTCCCTTCTAATTTTTGGAAATCCGTTTTCATTACCTTTTTTGACCACCGAGGACCGCCAAGAAAAGAAAAGAGTCACAACCTTAAGTCGGAGCCGAGTGCGATAATAATTATTATTGTAGTGACTCAAATCTATCTATCACTACTACACTGGTGACTGGCAACAACGGTGCTCTTGCCATACATACAACATACCTAGCAAGGCACTGGAGATTTCATCCCGCTTCAGTCCATTTTTCTTTCTTTTTTTATCCCCTGATCCCTCCTCCGTCCTTGTTCCTCCACAATGGCTGCCACTTCCTTTGTTATCAAAACGCCCTGCTCGTCCGCCAACATTGGACCTGGGTTCGACGTGATCGGTCTGGCATTGTCCATGCATCTGGAGCTCCACGTCACAATTGATACCTCCAAGTCGTCGCAACAACCACTTAACTGTCGTATCACATATGACGACCTGAGCAACAGTACCGAGAAGATCAGTCTGGACCCCGAGGTTAACTTGATCACCCGTGTAGCACTTTACGTACTTAGATGCCATAGCCAACGGGCATTCCCTGCTGAGACTCATGTGCACATCGTAAACCCGATCCCCTTGAGTCGGGGTCTCGGTTCTTCTGGCACTGCCGTTGTGGCTGGTGTAATGCTGGGAAATGAAGTAGGTAAGCTTGGGCTCAGCAAGGATCGTCTCTTGGATTATTGTTTGATGATCGGTAAGTCGCACGTCCGTCTTTCTGCTGGTGGGGAATAAAGTCGAGCATCCTGCATGCGATTGATACTGCTCGACACCTCGTCATTTGCTGGCTATCGCTCATCTGCTCAACAGAACGACACCCCGACAATGTCGCTGCCTCGCTCTTCGGAGGCTTCGTTGGCACCTATCTCAACGAACTCGCCCCCGAAGACGTAGCGCGCAAGGAGATCCCTCTCAGTGAAGTTCTCCCTTCTCCGGCCGGTGGCATTGACACCGGCAAGAGGCCTCCTGAGCCGCCCATTGGCATCGGTCATTACAGAAAGTTCCAGTGGGCCAAGGAAATCAAGGCTATTGCCATCATCCCCGACTTTGTCGTGCCCACCGCCAACGCCCGGAATGTTCTTCCTACCTCGTATACCAGAGCGGACGTTGTAAGCATTGTTCCCTCCGTCGCCAATTCCGAATCCGATAGCAAATGAGCTGCATCGGCTAATGCTATTACTTTGTTTAGGTCTTCAACCTCCAGCGCGCTGCCTTGCTCCCAGCAGCTTTGGGCAGCTCTCCGCCGGACCCAGACATGATCTATCTGGCCATGCAAGATAAGGTCCACCAACCATACAGACAGACTCTTATCCCCGGCTTGACGGAGATTCTCCAATCAATGAACCCACGTACGCAGCCCGGTCTGCTTGGAATCTGTCTGTCAGGTGCAGGCCCGACCATCCTTGCCTTGGCAACGGATAGGTTCGAAGAGATTGCAGACCGCATCATCTCTCGCTTTGCTACCAATGGCATCGCCTGCCAGTGGAAGTTGCTTGAGCCTGCCCAAGACGGCACCACTGTCCAATACTGAGAATCGGATGGCGGTTGCCCAAAGATCTATTCAAATCACACGAAAAGAAAGTCATGATTTGAGAGTCTGATAGATATGACCGCCATGATTGGTGTATATGCTTTCATAGACGGCTAGAGCCTGGGGAAGGGCTCTATAAACAGTGGGCACAACGAAAGTGACTCTTTCTATCACTCGTTTTTATGATATCCGTGTCCACATTCTCTTACTGCACAGTCGCCTAGACGGTCAGTCTTACAACTTATCAAATATAAATTTCCCTGCAAACACAGGATTGTCAAGGCAACTTGTGTACTCTTGTAAATATAAAGAGACTGTTTGATCATCTGACAGGAAGAGCACTGTTATTACAGATGCATTGCTAGAGAATACACAACCAGGCCACATTATCAATGGCCGTCCTCCCAACGTCCCTATAATGACACCGAAAACAAGGAAATAAAGAAAGAAATAGTAAAGGACGATGTTTAATCGAACGATGATGGGTAACTTGACTAAAACAATCAGGAGCACAATACGCTACGCCCGATACAGGCCTCAAAAATACGAATGTTACTGTCCATGTAACAATACAGCGTCCGATGGACCCGCGATAAGCAGAGGCGGTGGACATGCGACCACCTCAAGCTAACCTCAGCGCCGGCAACGAAGTAAAGGGTGCCCCTTCGACCAGCGACCGCCTAGATCGAACTGGGAAACAATCATATCGCCCTTTAATCAAAACATCCACAATGGAAAGTCTACTTGCGCCGATTCAAGATGCTCTGGAGGGTCAAATCGTGAGTTCTAGGTTTCCTCTGCGCCTGTTGTTTGGGTGATCGTTATTACAGCCACCTATGCGTTTACTTCTATCTACCTATCCGGAGTGTATGATTAACCATGTTGCCGTTTCCATGAATAGGACTTCCAGGGCCAGCGTATTGCAGAGCTTCTTAGTACGGTGCTTCTTGTTCTGTCGGGTGTAAGTTTCTCTACTATTTTTCTACGATGATGATGGTGGTGGTGGTGGTGGTGTTGTTGTTGATGTCTTCTGGACTGATTGCTTACGATGGTCGCTTTGTTTAGGCCGTTGCTTTCATTGTTGGATACATCTTCCAGGATATCCATCTAACACTCTGGGTCGGATTGGCCGGCACGTTAATAACTGGGTTGGCCGTAATTCCGCCTTGGCCTATGTACAATAAGAATCCCGAGAAATGGCTTGTTCCCTTGACGACGGGCGTGGGAGGTGGTGCAGGTATTGTGGTAGATGGAGTTAAGGTTGCGTGATACAAGGAGTCGCGGACCTTGGACATGTCTATTTAATATCCTGAATCAATCACAACTTGTCCGCTTGCGTGTGCACAAACAAAACCTGCATCGATAATTTTGAAAGCCGCTGCTGAGAACTGCGAAATGAACCACAAACGCCATAGAAAGCCCTCCCTTCCGGTTCTACCTTATAGGGGATATTGTAAGACATAGAAGATGATCCGCCCGTATTCGAACCCTGCGATCTTCGCACACGCGTTTACCGGCCGTACTTCTGGAACTCCCAGTCCCTATTGTCGAGGGGACAAACTTGACGGGTTTTCAGCCACCGCGAGATGCAGTGGAAGTGGAACGCATGCTAGAGACAGAAAAAAGCGGGCGTTAGTGTGGGATGCAGAGTGAGTGTCAGGAAGAGTTAACTTACGTTGCAGATACCCCAAGCAACTGTACACTCTTCAGTTGTAGACGAACCTTGGTTGGCCTGGCACTCGATACCTAGCAACCATCAGACATTAGACTTCGGGTTACATGAAGGCAAGACAGGTCCAAGACGTACAGAGATCCATGATGTGATTACGGCAGATTGCGCAGTTGTCGACGACAATATCCCACGCCCACAGAGCGACCGCGTTCCACTAGAAGAGCAACCCGATTAGCTTCAACGGTACTCAAAAGGGAAGCACACATCTTTGGTGCTGTACCTTCTTAACCTCAAACTTCTTCTTGCCGTCACTGGCACCTTCGGAAGCTTTCGACGATCCCTTTGCTTTGACAGCGGCGGCAGAGCCGGCTTCTTTCATTTCCACGTCCGCCATGTTGCGCGCTTTAACCCTTTGACGGCGCTTAGTCTGTCGAAAAACCGGTCACAAGTCGGAATAGGTGAACGAGCTGAGCAAGGTTCGGAGGAGGGGCAAGCAAATAGATTAATTACGTAGGTCGCTCGGATAGTGGTGGTACCTGACCTGTAGGTACTATTGGTAGTAGTTGTGGTTAGTTAGCTGATAACCCGGGGAGTGGTTGCGGTGTGAGCCCACCGGCAATACTCTCTGGTGGACGTAGATCGGAGAGGGGCATTGGCTTACCCGAGGAGCACTGACGTAGTAGGGGTATTTCTATCAAAGGAAGGGTTGATGGGAAATGATAAGGGTAGGAAGATGTATGAATCTTCGTTTATTTCCTTTTTTTTTTCTTCTTTTCTAAAAGCCGAGTACCTTGTTGGGGAAAATGATGTCCTGGGGGTATGAAGTGAGATAAACAGCAGTTGAATGGGAGTTATTTTTTGTTTTGTTTGCAAGGCTGCTGGCCGGGCAGTGGCGTAAGAACTCTATGCTTGTTAACTAGCTATTAGTGAACTGAACTTGTGACTTGTACCAAAGTGGCTGAGTCATCGCCGATGATCCCCGCTTGGTTCTTCTTCCCCCAGCCATTCTTAGGTTTCCGCCCGCCCTTCCCAAAGTCCAGTCACTACTTACTCTCTCTCACCTTCACCTTTCCTCCCTCAAAGCCTCGGTCAAGACCTACAATGTACCTCAGCTTTCCTTTACTTTCTGCCTTTATTCGCCTATCTAGACGTGAGCATGCCTAGGAGTCTTGGCTTACTGCTTCCTCTGCGCTTCCTTCGACTCTAATAATAGACGATTTCAACTCTCCGACTTGATCCTCCCATCTGACGTCTTTCCGATCGATCAATCAAAGAAGACCAACTCGTCGGGCCACACACTCAGTGCCCAGCACACCTAGCGACGATCTCCTCTTGTCCTTATCTCCTGATAGTTCTATCCAGCTTTGAATCATTGGGTACGGGCTGCTGGACAGTGCTTCGTACCACCATCGACTCCGTGATTATCGTTCGAGCCGCTTCTTATCGCTATTGTTTTTGTTTCTGGTGCCGCCGCCGCCCAGTCGTTTTCGGTTTCTCTCCACAAGGCTGCCTATTTCTTAAGCCTATCTGACCACCATGTCAACTCAATCGCCCAACCCTCCGACGCCAAAGGGCCCGCGAAACAATCGACGCAACTCCAAGAGGAATATGACACCCTCTACTCAGAAAGTCGCTATCCTGGCAACCCCTCCCTCGTCACCGCCAAGGAACTCCAGTCCTGGCGGGACCGCCACCGATTCCTCTATCAATGTCAACGCCTCCAAGAAGAAGAACAGTCGGTCTGGCAAGAAGCCGCGCGACGCATCCAAAGCATCCCCAGCACCTAATGGACACCGTCATACTACTTCTCAACCTAATAATACCATCGCCACTCCTCAAGTGAAGGACAGCCCTCATTACGCCGGCCCGACTTTCCATGCATCTCCGGCACCGTCAGCACTGCCTATTCCCAGTTTCTTCTCCAAGTCTCTACCAGAGTCCGATCTTGCACCGACCATCGAATCCGACGGTGATCACCTCGATGCTGAGCCGGATCTGGAGAACACCCCCTCAAAACCGAAGTCGCGCCCACAATTTCAAGAGGAAGCGCGCCAATCAACACCTTTGGATTTTCTCTTCAAAGCTGCAGTCGAGGCCAGAAACCCCCAGCAGCAGCAGCAGCAGCGAAGCCCCGAAGCAAGCAGTCGGGTCCGGTCGCCACAAACTGATTCTAAGACCCTTCAGCACCGTAGACCCAATGGCACTGCCGGTGGGCTCTTCCGGATGGAGATGGAAAGCCCGGAGTTCCAGCATTCACATATTGGGCCTTCCTTTGCGACCCCTTACAAAGACCGCATGAACGCGTTACGGTCGGCCAGCTCACCTTCTCCTCCGGTGTGTGATTTCGATGAGCAGGAGAAGAGAGCTAAAACCGAAGCTTTGAAAACTTTGTTGCTCAATCCTCGTCCCCAGAGGCCTTCTTCCGCATCTATCACGGCTCAAGATCACTTCAACCCAGTGATGGAGCGCCCTGCTTCAAATCCCGGCTTACCTCACTTTGCAACGCCAGTAAGAACGACTTCGGGACCACCCGCTTCTATCTCGCATGGCATGTCGTATGATCAGAAACAAACATTCGTCGGAAATGGCCGGCACTATTCATCATCCTATACACACTCGAACGCTGCTCAACAATATCACTTGCAAAACTCCCCCTTGAGGAAGGAAGTCCTTACTTCGAGAGTTGAAAACATGCCGAGCGTTCATGGCCAAGCTTTCTACCCTCCAGCCGCGTACGATCAGCCCAAATCTCCGCCTAAGTATGCACAACATTCGACGTATTATTCTCCTCCGCAGCACCAATCTCCTGTCTCACGGAGCGTGTCAGTGAGCAACAACGCGCAGCCTTATGACACGAAGAAGATTGAAGATGATCTACGAAGGATCTTGAAACTCGATGTAAACCCTACCATGCCAGCCAACGGCATGCAAAGCTCCTTCGCCTGACGCGTCTGTCATTGGCATTTCGTGAGGCCTTCCTTCCTTCCGTTGATTTCCTATTTCATCCGTTCATTTCACGATATCAAGTTTTCAGAAAGGGCACAGTCTTGACGAACAGTGCTGGGAACACTAGCTGAATCCCACTGGCCATGTGAAGCATGGTTCTCATTTTTACTGGGCTACCGCAACTTACGTTCACATCCTAATCATCTGGCGCTTCATGTCCTAAGTTATGTTCTATGTCCTTCTCAAGGGTCCTGTTCTGTTGTTCTCCACGGTTTCATGTTGGTAGCGGCTATCCTGGCGATTGAAAGGGAGTTATCTGTCCCCCTAGTATGTCTTCGAACCTCTATTTGCATTGAACCCCGGAGTATGGTTGCCTTTGGAGTGCTCTTTATGGGACTGTTGGTTTGGGCGAGGTTTCCTGACGTCTGCGGATATCCGTGATGACACTCGTTGTTCACGTTGTTACATTTTGACCTTTTGTTGTTGCTTTTCTCTTTCTTGTCTTGCCTTATGCTTTACCCTTCCTTCTTATCTCATCTTTATGTCCCTTTCTATCAATACCTGACCTTCGTGGATTCGGTTTCAGGTTTCGCCAAAGGCGATGAACGATGACTTTGCTGCTCTTTTGTTGGGTTCGGCCCTCTCGTCTGCTGGACGAGATCTAGCAAGACCAATCCAGGATTGGTTGTTTCCTGACATGTATCATGAAGGCCTTTCGTTTCTCTTATCACTTTTCTTATTCCTATGTGTCATGTACCTACATTCGTTTCGAAGCTCCTAGTCTTCGCGGTGGGTTTGTCCGTTATCAACGCACATCCACATCAACGGCTATCCCAATCATACTTTCGTTCAGCCGGATACTATTTTTCACCTCATCTACACTTCTCCACCCCCTATAAGGTAATGTAGGTCCAGCAAATGGCCAGAACATGGCGATTAGTAGTAGCGATAGTAGTAGCGGCAACGATAGTCTAGTCTCTCTGCCAAGTGACAGCTACTCTAGTATGTCTCAGGGACACTGGAGCAACCATATTAAGAAGATGTCTCCCCATCTCCAGTCAGTAGTCCGACGTTCACTAATTAGCGAAGCCCCTCCCCGAAACCCCGAATTAGCAACTGTCTCCCCCTACTACGCACTAGATTCCTACTTAGTTGACATCTCCACGGACTACAGAGCCGGTAGGGAAAGACATGGGTATGGATAAGGAGGCCCGAATCCGGAGTCCAGAACCCGGATAGAAGCTGGGCGGGCGGCAAGCCCAACCTCAACGGCGAATGGGGAGTTCCCGAAAGCGTCGGTCCACTTTTTTGCTATTATTCTGGGTTCCACTTCCGTTTTGCAAATTTCGCTAACTAGAGGGAAGTTTGCCTCCACTTGCAATTCCACCATTACAGAGAAGAGAAACAAGAAAAACCGCCGTGAAAGCGGACAGGGGGTATTGTGTGGTGGGTAATCGAATGGGGAGATTCTCAGGGCATTGGGATATTTTATGGTTGTTTCTTGGCCATTTCTAGTACCCTTCCAGCCAGGTACTATATAGTAGTTTGGTCACATGCGTGGTAGTAGTTAAGTGCCATGCACGTATTGGCTGGTAATCGTAATGATGGCTAAGTAGGTAAGCTATGTACTATAGGTGTATCTGAGACAGATCTTGAACGAATGATCCACTGGTTTGGATGCTCTATTACATCTACATAATACATGTCCAATGAACGGAACTGCTGGTTCTTCTGACAAGCGAGACAGGTAGATACATAAATTGTTTTCGTCGGCTAACTCCTCGTGCTAAATGGAGTTCCTAGGTGTTCGTGGGGTCAACTTTCTCCGCAAGATGAAAAGGGTGGTCCTGTGTTGCATGGATGGTATCCCCTATTGGTGAGCTATTCCCGCAATCTACTGTAGGTTTCTGGGGGTATAGGGTACAAAACTGGGGGATCCGATCTGGTGAGGTTGGTCAACTATTTAGGCTGGTGTCTTTGGGATAAGAAAATGTTCACTCATGCAATGAATCACATGCCGGAATAACTATAGGTCAGATGAATCTACTTATTGCGGTATACGCAGTAGCTCTACTTCTTACCCACCTACATAACACTAGTCACAATCAGGTACCCGGTGTATATTTGGTTTACACACGAGTTCACAGGGTCTTTTGGAGGCTGTTTGTTACATCATTTAGTAAAGATGGATTTAAAGCTGGGATGAGCAAGGATCATGATCATTGGCATGAACACTCCGGTTCGATGATGGGACGAAGTTCCTACATGAAACCGATTAAACTTCAAGGTTGCGTCCACTCTCTCTCTCTCTCTGGGTTATAAAGGACATAGAGTGGTTCATCTAAGATAGAATATAGTTTTATTATTAAGCAACTGTACCTTACCTGGATTCAGCATAAGAAAAATTGACCCCGACCGTCTGCGGGAGGGCCGTAGACAAGATCAGCCACTGCAGTCATAGTTTATTGAGTAGCCCTATCCAGGAAGGGTTTTGCAAGAAAAGATGTGATATCACACGCGTAGCGCCGCAATTGGACAAGGCTTGCCACCTAGATGGAGGTTGGTGGCGGGTAAGGAATGTTAAGAAGTGGTGTCTGCAGGAACGGACATTTTAGGTAGTGGTGAGTGAGGATTATGTGATGCATGATAAGCTTTCTCTTTCTCTCTTTTTCCTCCCTTTGGTGGTGTTACAAGGAGTCGGGTTTAAAGCAGGGGGAATTAAAATGTCCATAACCTAATAATCTTATAGAGAGGCTACTAGATAGAGAGGAGGAGGAGGAGCCCTTGAGAGGATACCGGAAAAGCCATACCTAAATACTAGATAGATAGATAAACCAATAGCCATCAGTTACAAAGAAGAAGTAGTAGTTATTTTAGGGGGAGATTGAGTTAGCGTTGAATGTGTAACCGCCGGTACATTGCGAGGCAATCTAAAGTGACTGCGAAGAGTAATGATGTGGTCCAGTCAGTCCCTGGTTCCGGACGCCTTTCCAGGGGGTCAAACAAACGAATCGTCGCTGCCGGCCTCGCCCCCCCGGAAAGGAAAAAAAAATAGAAAAAAAGAAAACCCACTGCACGCTACTTGGTGAAGGGCCCCAAAGGGAGACGACGACAGCAACAGAAGAAGGAGAAGGAGTTTGAGAGAAAGTGGAAGACGACGACAACAATAACCACCATCGAAATTGGAAAAGGAATTTTGACGGAAGAAAAAAAAAAAGAGAGAGACAGAATCTAATCTTGCTGTTCATCACAAGAGAAGAGGGAAAAGCGCTTTCTCCAATTCCTTCTTCCCTTCAACTTATCCTTCCCTTTCCTTTTCCCTTCCACGCTCTTCTCCCCTCATAAGGAGACAGACCCAAAGACCGAGATCCAATACTCAATTTCCCCATTTATCCAGTCCTTCCAGACCAACCCATTCGCATCCCTCCCTTCCTCGCGCGCTTGCTCTTACTTTCGCTCTCGCGCGCGCTCTCTTTCTCTCGCTCTATTTCTCTCTGGTACTGGCACCATCTAATCATCTTCCACTCTGCTGCTCTTTCAAATCTCCACATCTTCTTTCCCTTTTCCCACACCCCCTTCCTTCCCCCTCCCCCCTTCCAACTTTCTTCCTTCTCCCATCTTCCTCTAATACCAATCGCCTCTTAGTGCTGTCACTTAGCGGTTCCCTAGCCGCCCCGTTTTACCCACCGGCCTTAACAAAACTTCCTCTACATTATTATTTGCCTTTCCGCTCTTGATCCATCTATCCGCGGTACTGAATTCCGACCTTGGACTCCCTCCTCCCTCCCTCAAATGCTCCTCGATCCCTTTTCATAAGGAGAATTAGAGAAACAGAACAGCCAGCGCTGGTCTATTTCGCTTGCCCTCTGTCACTAGACATCTGTCTGGATTCCAATCATGGCGAATGCGTGAGTATCTCCCTTTCATCGAAACACACCTGGCCACGTCTCCCGAGAATCCGAGCTCAGCGGTTGACACTTTTCTAAACCCATCCACAGCATCGGCTCAGCATGGCGGTCCTTTTGGCATACGATGACTTCTTATGATCGCCATGCTTCCCATGACTCGCCATATCGAACCGGTAAACATGTGCCGCTTAGTCAAAGTCGACACGAACCTCTCACATCCATTGCAACAAGCGCTATCGAATCTCGACCCGATTTGACTTCCCCGTATGATGACGATCAGCCCAAGGGCTCAAATGGCTGGTCCGGCTCACCTACGGGAGGGGGCTCACCCAATCGCCCATACTCTCCTGGAATGCGATCATTGTCATCTCAGAAGCGTCAATCCGCAGACCCCAATGCGGATGGTGCCCCAGAGATTCAAATGCAAAGTTTCCATGATGGTGCTCCGCCCCCTCCCCCCATCGCTCATTCATGGAGGAAGATTGAGAAATGGCTGGAGAACAACTACCAGGAGCTCTGGGATAATCTATGCGAGGGCTGCACCCAAAATGACATCAACGAATTGGAGCACGAACTGGACTGCAGCCTACCGTTGGAGCTGCGGGAATCTTTGATGGTCCATGATGGTCAGGAGCGGGGAGGACTGCCCACCGGTGTCATCTTCGGCTGCATGCTTCTGGACTGTGAGGAAATCGTTCAAGAATGGAAGAACTGGAGGGTAGTCAACGAGGAGTTTTTGAGCTCATCTATGATGAACGCTCCTCCAAGGGCAAGCCCCAGTTCATCGTCCGCTGTGCCCCCTGCCCCGGGGGCTAATGGTGCTTGGAGAAACGACCTGCTCGAGCGACAGGACTCGCAGCCTCCCGGTGCAGTCCAGAAGGCCTATGCCCATCCGGCTTGGATTCCCCTGGCTCGCGACTGGGGCGGCAACCATATCGCTATCGACTTGGCCCCAGGACCTGCTGGAAAGTGGGGACAAGTTATCATCTTTGGCCGGGACTACGACTGTAAATACGTCATTGCTCGGTCCTGGGCTGCCTTCCTTGCGACGCTAGCAGATGATATTTGCAGTGGCAAGGTCTCTGTGGATGAAGAAACGAATGAGATGAAGCTGTTGGAATTCAAGTCGCAGAACGTGGAACCCCCCTACCTGGAGATCTTGAGGTGGAGAACCGATCAGAAGTATGGCAGGAGACCACCTAGGCGCAAGGCTCCGAATGGCTTGGGTTTGAGCACGGGCGGCAAGTCGGGCAAAGAGTCCCCCTATGGCAGCCCAACTCCCAGTGAAGAGCGTGGAAGGTCTCCGCATCGCTTCCCCAACCGGGGGGCTACTCAAAGCCCCAAAACTCAATTCGGCATGTCAAGTCCGCTGGCTCGTGTCACAGAAGAGGCACCGAGTCCGGTGCACACCGTTGAGGAGACTGAGCTTCCAGAGCAGGCCGCCAAGGAGAACGGAGAAGAGCGTCAATCCGAAGACTTGATGGAGGTAGCTACGCCTCAAATCGGCGGGAAAGAGAACGAGGGAGCCGGAAAGAGTGAGGAGCGCCAGTCGTTGGAAGCGGACAAGGCGCAAAAGCGTGACTCGAATCAACCGTCCTTGGCCACTGGCTTGGACGCCGAGGTCTTGGGTGAAATGAAAAATGTAGCGATCTAGACCTCGTTTTGAGCGATTGTTGCCTTATGTTGCTCCTTTTGTTCCGGCGCGTCATCTTCATCTTTTATCATGAGCACCTTGCTTTTGCGTTTCTAATGAGGAGTTTTCTGATCTTGTCTCCTTCCAGTCCAAGTGTCCCAGGCGCCCCTCCATGAAAGTTGATGGATTTGTGTGAACACTCTTCTGACCTACATGTATAAATCCTCGCATCGTCATACTCCATGATTCCTGTGACCGTCCGTATTCTTTCCAATTCTTTTCTTGTCATTTGCAACTTCGAGCAGCCTTATCTTTCTACTTGGGATGGTCACCCGCGATCTGTTTTCATCTCATTTTTGTAACTTTACCTCAACGATGATGCTGTATTAGTTCTCTTCAAGGCTTTTCTTTTTTCTCTCTCTGGATTTCTGCAGTAGTCGATGTGGTAATACTACTCACTCTACGACGATCTATCACAAGTATGATGATGTGTCTTGGCAGTTACTCAAGTGCTTGACTTCAATATATTCAGTACCCTGCTCCGGCATTGGTTGGTCCTGCGAATCCCGATATCGCCAGCTCTTTCTAGCTCGCCCATTTACAAGTATAGGCTCGATTGGAATAGCATCCGGGCATATTCCGAACCTGGAAGTCCATCACCCGAACTTGAGTCGCTCCCTGCTCGGTTGGCAAGATCACTGCTGCAAATGCAGATTGGTCACACATCAACGTCAATGACTACAGCCAAGCAACGAATCTCTGGTCCCCAAGGCTGTTGTCTCCATCCCGCCTTGTTTCATTGAGGTAACGATGCATCCAACCACCAGACGGCGAGATACCGCTCTGCAATTATGGCAGGCTATCCAGGAAGGCCACTCGAATTTCTCAATCCCAGTCGTCATCATCGTCATCAGCATGCCTATAACTCCTCGCGTTGCCCGTCCGAATCGACCGCTTCCCCCGATCTCTGCGCTCTCCGCCATCACTATCATCATCTTCCGACCCATCAGACGCCCCATCACCAGCCCCGAACTTCTCCTGGGCAAGGATTCCCTTCCAAATCAACCTTTTCTCCAATGTAGCAGTGCTAAACCCATCTGTTCCATCCCGACCACCCGATCCTAGCCCCTCAAACCCAGTCACGCGCTCAACCCCAACCCCATCCTTGAATCCGATCACACATGGAAGCACCCGGATCTTCAACCGCTCCACCACAAACGGCGTGTTCCGTACATCCACCCGAGCAAAGCGTACCTCATGGTGTCGGGTTGCTAGCGCTCGAATATGCTCGTCCATTGTGCCGCAGCGCGCGAAATCCGGGTGCGCAAAGTGAATCACGCATCGATGGGTCTGCGTGGTAAAGTCTAGGAGTGCTTGATCGCTGGAGATGGTCGGGTACAGACTGTCTTCGAGGATGGTGTGGTCGCGAGTGCGGCTGTCATTGTTGTTCTTGTTGTTTTGGGCCGAGGCAAATTCCGCATTGAGTTGCTCAATTCGGTGTGCTCGATAGGCTGTGTCGTCTTCGTTCTCTAGCGCGTCGAAGAGAGCGTCCGAGTCGGCGTCGTGGTCATCTTGGTCTCTTGCGGGGGGGTGGTCTTCGAAGGCGCGACTCATGGTTGTGGTGGGTTCTTTTCTATCGTGGTTTATAGTTGTAAAGATGGGCTCTCGGTGCAGAGAGCGAGGTTGAACCCGATGGTATATGTGTTCAATTGAAGAATAAGGGCAAGCCTTAGAAAGAGACAGGAATAGGAGAGGTAGTATATATGGTAGTTATATGTTGATGATAAAGGACGAGGAGGGGAGTGCGAAGCACACGGTGGGTCGGAGGGGTA